ATAAAATTCGTTGTCATCATTCTACTGTTCAAAGTCAAGGTAAGTTTGTGTGTTACTATTGTAAAAAAAATCATTCCATTTACAAATGTTTTGCTTTCAAGAATTTAGATGTAAATTCCAGAATATTAGCAACAAATAGACTTAAATTGTGTAGAAATTGTTTCAACCCATCTCATCAAAACATAGAAAACTGTACTAGTAGCTCAAGCTGTCGCCAGTGTGGGCTGAAACAATACACTTCTACATTTAACGGCAGGTCCTAAGGTTTCTGATGCTCAGCTTCATAGTAGGTGGAAACGAGGTAGTTTGCGACACCGCACCGGTACGGTCAAGCCAACTGCAAAGACTCTTGTCAGACACACGAGAAATGAGGATACAACTTTGTCAGTTTTATCGACTGTGAAAATAAAAATCCTTGATTGTAACGGTTCCGAATATGTAATACGTGCGTTATTAGATTCCGGGTCTCGGAGCATTTTTATAACTGAGTGCCTAGCAAATAAATTGGGATTGGAAAAACGTAATGTTAATTTTGATGTTATGGGTGTTGGTGAGGCTCTGACGGCCACTGTTAACTCTAAAATAAATATAAAGATTATGTCAAATACAAGCAATTTTAGCGAGTTTATTTCCTGCCTTGTAGTTCAAAAAATTACTCAATTTTTACCAACAGCCTCATTTAATATTTCGCAATGGAATTTACCTGAAGATTTAGTCTTGGCTAATGATTCTTTTAATATACCAGGTCCTATCGATATGTTATTAGGAGTATTGACAAGCAATTGACCAAATTTTGGGAATTATAAGACTATCCCAATACATTAATTGATCAGACATATTCAGATTCAGAACAATTTTGTGAAAATAATTTCTGTTTCCTTTTAAAGAAAATGTAAACCAGCTAGGCACGTCAAAAGACATGGCTGCTAAGCGTTTAAATTTTTTGATCCAACGTTTAAAAAAAATGAGTCTTTAAAAAGAGAATATGTTGATTTTTTAAATGAATACCGTGAAGTGGGGCATATGGTCAATGCCGAAGACTTTTCTTTAAGTGGCATGGATTCTAAATTATGCTATTATTTACCGCATCATGCCGTACTTAAGGAATCAAGTTTGACGACCAAGTTGAGGGTAGTTTTAGACGCTCCGGCAAAGACAGATTCGGGTTTATCGCTAAATGACGCTCAATATATAGGCCCAACTATACAAAATGATCTTTTGTCCATAATTTTACAATTTAAAATTTATCCTTCTGTAATGATTGCCGATATATCTAAAGCCGCGTCCATATTAGCAAATAAATGTGTTGCGTTGAATTCGGGATTCGCAACAAATTTTTGTGGCGCAAATTTGGCATCTTGGCAGACATAAATATTTGTGTTGTGCGCCGTGCGTTCTTACTCAACGCGTGTGTGCCAATTTTATTTTAGTGTGCGCGTTGCTTGTTTTTGGTTATTTGTTTTGTTTGCGAAAAAATGCGTCCACACTAGAACGATGTTGCGCCGCAAATCCCTTTGATGTCTTGAAAAAAACCGACAAGCCGCGGATCGCGTGCGGTGAATGTCGCGAATTTTTTTGCGTGCGTCCGTATGCGGCGAACAGGTCCACACTCGCATAAATTTGTATCGCACATACAAATTTGTGCCGAATACCACGCACAACGTAAATTTTTACTAATGTGGACGCGGCTTAAGATGTATCGTCAAATAATGATAGAGCCAGAAGAACGACGGTTTTAGAGAATTTTGTGGAGAAGTCCGGATTCAGTTGATGATAATATTGAATGTTATGAGTTACAGACTGTAACTTACGGATGCACTTCGTCGCCATTTTTGGCAGTTAGATGCTTAAAGCAATTAGCTTTAGATTTCAAAAATTAATATCCACGGCTTGTGAAATAATTTTCAACTGTTTTTATTTAGATGATCTTCTGGCAGGTACTTTTTCTATTGCTGAATTATTACAACTTCAAAAGGACATATCTTTTATTTTCGAATCTGGGGGCTTCCAATTACGAAAATGGCTTTCTAACAGACCTGAATTATTTCAGGTAGATAATAAATATCATCAAGTATCTTGCAGATTGGTGAATCTGAACAAAATAAAACTTTGGGAGTTTTATGGAATGCTTACCTTGATATAATTCACTTTTCTATAAAACCAATTTTATCTAGTGGAATTCTTACTAAAAGCATGATTTTATCGATAACAAGCCAAATATTTGATCCCTTAGGCCTTCTCGGTCCGGTTATTGTTGTCGCTAAACTTATTTTGCAAGCTTTATGGCAAGAAGGCCTATCTTGGGATGAGCAATTACCAACATTTTTGACTGAAAGGTGAATAAATTTTGGTGAGGATCTTCAGATTTTGAATAAGCTAAAGGTTCCCAGATTTGTTCTATGTGAAAATTTTGTTAAAGTTTATATATTTGGATTCGCAGATGCCTCCGAAAAAGCATATGGAGGCTGCGTTTATATAGTAAGCTTTACAAAGGATAGGAATATTTTTTCTAGTCTTTTGATGTCAAAGTCTCGCATTGCTCCCATCAAAACTATAAGCTTGCCCCGTCTTGAACTTTGTGCTGCTTTGCTGACTGCAAAGTTGGTTGACAAAGTAAAAAAATCTATCTAATTAGAAATCGATAAATTTTATTATTTAACGGACTCCACTATAACTCTTTGTTGGATCAAGGGTTACCCAAATTGATGGAAAACCTTTGTGGCAAATAGGGTCACTAAAATTCAGGGCTTAACAAATCCAAATGATTGGTTACACATTAAGTCGGAACAAAACCCAGCTGATTGTCTGTCACGAAGTATTTCAGCTCAACAGCTATTACATTTTGAGTTGTGGTGGAAGGGACCAGTTTCATATTTTTTAGATCCAATAAATAACTTCCAAATTTTATCGGAGATGCCAGAAAACGTACCAGAAGAGAGAATGATTTCGCACTCGTCTGTGATTATGGAACCTGATTTTGACTTTAGCAAATTTTCAAATTTACTTAAATTACAAAGAGTTTTTGCATATATCCTAAGATTTATTAAAACCTTGAAACATAAAACAAAAATTTCTGAAATTTTATCGTATTCTGAGCTAAATTTCTCTTTGCAGTATCGCTCAAAAACAGTCTTTTCCCAACGAATATTGTTTACTTTCAAATCAAAAGTCAATAAAGACTTCTAGTAAACTTTTGAGTCTTAATCCATATTTTGATAATAATGGATTAATTAGAGTGGGCGGAAGGATTCATAAAGCGAAGGTTTCGGTTGAACAAAAACACACAGCAGTTTTCCATAATAAACATTTTTTAACTATTTTGATCATGCGTCACACACATGCAATAGGAATGTTCACAAAATAAAAAAATCCTGTTTAACCATCATCAAATTATTAAGCATCGTTTCCTAAGTAAATCTACAAAATTTTACGAAAATCAGAAAATTCTTTCTATGAGAAAAACGGAGACGAAATATTAATATCCGTTTAAACGCACGAAACGCTCTCTGACGTCACGATGCGTAACGAGTTAGCGCGCGCAAGTACAGTGGCGCTACTAACTGCTTGGATCAGCCTTTTGTGACGCTGCTTTTGCGATTTTTGTTGGCAATAAAGGATATTAATATTAATATGGTTAGGTTTTAATTTAACGAGAGAGTCTGTTTAACGTTTAACAAGTATTTTGATAGTGCTGCTATCTTCTTTATGTGTCGATCTCTGTGTTAGGTAGAAAAAGTACTATAGCTGAAATGGAAGAAGGGTTTCAAAAGGCCGATTCACATAATCTGTCAACTATGGACGTTACTATGGTATCAGAATTTTTGGTCAAGTGTCAAGACTTGAGCCTCAGTTCAGTGGTGTAAAAGTAAAACAGAAAGTAATAATCTCGCTAATAATCTAGCTTTACCTTCATGACTCACTTACCTAACTATTAATAGACATAGATATAGTTGAATTTGAACAGTGAAATAGTTATTTAACTATAACAAGTGCGGAAAATATACTTTACGCTCGTGTTAGGCACATTTTTCTCACGATCGTGCGGAAAATGCGTCTTCACACACTGATTTGCGTGCGGGAAGTACCACATTTCCGCACCTCGTAGGAAAACACGCACGTAGGTACCATTTTTTTCGACTTGGTTTAACTTTGTTAGAGTCTCCAATCATTAGACAAACACAGATAATTAGAGTGAATGAAGCTTCTTGGGATAAAGCAACAGTCAGCAACACAATAAATTCAATGTGAACTTTTAAAGAAATCTCGCCAACGTGCCAGCTGATTGTTCGTTCCGCACCTTGACGTCACAAGTGCTACTCTCGCCGCAGGGGGTCGTTTTTCTAGCCTCGCTAATTTCGTTTTTTTTTGTTTTCGATTTATCAGAAAAAAATAATGGGTTTCTAGATGTTTTAACGCTTAATACGTGTTTTGGGGACCTAAAACCACCACTTTTTATTAAAATTGAAAAATAGTGAACATTCCTATTCTTTTACACTGTGGTCCACAGCAGTTTTTATATTCCATACGTCAAAGATTCTGGCCAATTTCCGGTCGTAGTTTGGCTAGGTCTATTGTTAGAAGTTGTGTTACCTATATGTTTTAAAGCTAAACCAATTACAAATGACTACCTCATGGGAAACCTACCTGAATGTAGAGTGTTAGCATACCAGCCTGTTTCTTCCCATACTGGTATTGACTATGTATATAGCAAGATGGCTGACGATGAGCAACACGATTCCGACGCGGAGAGTGTAAAATCAGTGAATACCGGCGAAAAAAGTGACCAAAAAGTATTTTTTAAGTGTCATAACACCAGTGAAAGCAAGGTGGTTGTGTGCGTGAACTGTGGGGATGTTTATCACCGGAGCTGTGCAGCGAGAAAACGGGTACAAATCCTAACATCAACTCTTATCATTTGTTGTAATGGTGACTTGTCAAGCCGCCTACTCAAGCCCGAGGACAAGGACGAAGTAAATAAAAATCTATGGGAAGAGAATAAAATGCTGAAGAAACTAATTGACCAGTTTGAGAAAAATGCAGTGCTCCGAGACGAAAATAACCATCTACTCAGGGAGAAAATATTGTCTCTAGAAGCTAAATTACAAATATCTGAAGCAAGTAAGGAGAATCCAAACAAAAATCAGCTGACAAAAAACACAGCTGACAACCAGACGCCGACACCGCTCCAAGAGTCGGTGCAGGTTCAGAATCACAACCGGAATTACAACTACAGCCAGGCGACTAGAAACCCCAGACAAGCGAACGTTGGCAACACTGTCTTGTCGAAGCCAACGTCGACGTCAACGGAAATGACAAGGGGAACATCAAAAACAAATAATGTTCAAAATCAACAACATCACGAAAATTTTAATAAAGTGAAGCAAACTCCCCAAAAAATCACCGTATCGGCAGTAAAAAATGCGGTTCATCATCAAGCACAGGCATCTGCAGTAATGAATAATCTACAAAGCCTAGCACATCCAACGATGGGCAACGATTCCGTCGCCCCTTGGCAGGAAGTCACGTACCAAAGACGACGTCGACGACAATTTGTTGTCGGTAACAGCTCCGAAAACACCTTACAAGCAGTACCTAAGCTGCTTGCACTGCATGTATCCAGACTGCAACCTGAAGCCACACCAGAGGATTTTGCATCAGTGCTGAAGTTGCATTTCCCTGAGGTGGAATGTGTGAAAATAAATTCCAAGTATCCTGCTATTTACTCATCATTTAAAGTAACAATTAACCAGGAAAACTACAGGAAAGCATGGCGTAAAGATATCTGGCCAAATGGTGCTGTCGTATCCAAGTTTTTTGCCAAGACGAGGATGTCACAGAAAGTGAATCCTCAAATTCATCAATAATTAAAACCTTGCAGAATCCGGTCGGATCTGTAACAACAAACTTACATAGCAACTGCGGATTTGTCAAGGACATGTGGACCAACATGGACTCAGCAACCTCACAGAACTTTAACAGTCCAACTCTTGGGGAAGCAGTAGAATTGGACCATGGAGTGGGGCCAGAGGTTGTCAACCTGGGCGTCACCACAACTAATGGGTTGCCCATTGCAGTTACATCTAAGTATTCTCTCAACATTTTCCATCTAAACACACAATCAGTCAGAAATAAAATATCTGAACTTGAGGCCTTTTTTGATGATAAAAAAAATAAATATGATATAGTGTGCTTTTCTGAACACTTTTTGAAAAAAGAGGAAGCCTCTAATTTTAAAGTTAATAACTATAACATTATTTCTTGTTTTAGCAGACAGGCTCTTTCCCATGGAGGAGTACTTATTATGTCAAAGTATAACTCTAGCTTTGATTTTGTTGGTTTAAGAGCAATCAATGATCTCAGCGTTGAGCTTCATTGCGAGATAGTAGGTGTATTTGACACAACTATGAATTTTATTATTGTCACTATTTATCGTTCTCCCTCTGGGAACTTTGATATACCTTGCGTTCGGTATTTTGCTCAAAGAGCAGAGCGTGCCGAGCGGAGCCATAATCACGTGACCAGTGAGCGAACAGAGCAGTTGAACGCTGTATAAAAAGTGCCAGAAATTTTAATAAACGAACGCGAATGAGGCTGCACCGAGTACACTTTTTTAAATAAACGAACGGTAAAGTCAAGCTCGGAGAACTCGGACCAAAATAACGAACGCACGGATATTTATGGATACATTTAATCTACTTCTCTGTACATTGCATGGTTTTTCATGTGAGGTAATAGTGAATGGGGACTTTAATATTAAGTTCAACACCACCCACCCTTTTTCTACAAAATTTAATGATTTAATCCACTCATTTAACTTTAGGTGCATAATTGCCGATAATACAAGATTGAACCATTGTATTGACAACATTATCACCAACATAGATGCAGCTAAACTTGTTCTTGGAGTGCTTGAGCCTGGTCTTTCAGACCATGCAGCAATAACTGTTTCTGTAGCAATATCTCGGCCACTACCAGAGACAAAAGAAATCATATATCGCGATTTCAGTGAACATGGTATGTTTTTGCTTTATACTGACTTAGAAAGTGTAGATTGGTCTTTTATAAATAGTCAATCAATGGATACCAATACTAAATTTTCAACCCTAATTGAATTTCTAAAATCACGCATTAACACTTTCTTTCCCATAATACGCACCAAAGCTAAATTAAATAAAAAAAAGTATAATCCTTGGTTCAATACAAACTTATCAGAAATTCGAACTAATTTATCCCTAATATGCGAAATGAGTAAAAACTTTCCTAACAACCATAATATTAAGCAGCACCTGAAAATGTATAGATCATTTTATAAAAAAGAAATTTTAATGGCAAAATCAAACTACTATAAACAAATAGTACATGAAAAGGGCAACAAGTCAAAGACATACTGGGATATTATAAATAAAAGCAGGATTAATAAAAAAAACTCTGTCATCTCAGCCTGAGGAGCCAGACATAAATATTTTAAATTATTTTTTTGTAAATGTGGCTGACAATATTGTTGGGGCACCAACTCAAACGCAAATATAAACCAAGATACAAACCAGGGTAACTACCTTGAGAGCATTATTAATCCTCCCTTTTGCCTTTACGGAGATTGTTTTAATGACCTAAGGGAGATCATTGATGGTGATGAAAAATAAATCCAGCCTTGACCATTTTGACATATCCATAAGGATATTAAAATCAATAAAAAATTTAATACTGGCCCCAATTACTAAACTAATAAATGAAGTCATCAGAACTGGTGTATTCCCTGATATCTTGAAAATTACTAAGGTTGTTCCTATTCATAAAGGCGGTGACTCTAACCCTACTAATTACAGGCCTATTTCAATTGTCCCTTGTATCTCTAAATTAATAGAAACTGTTTCAAAAAAGCAATTAACATATCACTTTGAGTCTAATGAACTATTCTATGAACACCAATATGGGTTTAGGCCTATGCGTTCCACTGAACTAGCCATAGCCAATCTGTTGAATCATATTGTAGATGGGCAGGAGGGGGGCCTTTACACAAGCGTAACATTCTGTGATTTAACTAAGGGATTTGATGTGAGGTACATAGTATTCTATTACAAAAACTGCGACATTATAATTTTAGTCTAAACAGTACAAAACTAATCGAATCATTCCTGACAAACAGACACCAATATGTTCAGTCCAATAATAAGACTTCCACAGTCCTACCAATAAAAAATGGGGTCATTCAGGGGTCAGTCCTGGGTCCCTCATTGTTCCTGGTGTACATTAACGATCTCGTACATGCAATTCCTGATGGCTGTGTAACACTATTTGCGGACGATACCACACTTCTTAGCCAACACCCCGACCTTCTGTCAGCAACGGAAAATTCTAAAGATCTTCTATTGAAAAGCCAACAATGGTTCTCCCAAAATTGTCTGGCCCTTAACAGATCAAAGACAATAGACCTAGTCTTCTCCCAACGACCGATCACAAATACAGACAACGGAGAGTGTGCTAAGTTTTTGGGGATTTATCTGGACCCAAAACTGAATTGGCTGCCTCACATTGACTATCTAGCCACAAAAATCTCTAAAAACATATTTGTTCTCAGATGTCTATCTAAGACAGCAACAAGGGATGTATTGGTCACCGCATACCATGCTCTAATCGCATCTCATATATCCTATGGGCTTATAAGCTGGGGTCAGGCCCCAGCTGCAGTAAGAATCTTTGGCTTGCAGCGTAAGGCACTTCGTCTGATTACGGGGCTGGGATATAGGGATGAGGTCCGGGGTAAATTCGGCGAGCTGAACATCTTAACTTTGCCATCATATTTTATATATAAATGCCTAATCTACGCTTACGATAATAGACTTAACTTCACTCTGCCTGAGCATAGTTATGCAACACGACAAGTCAATCTCCATCGACCAGACTATTTACGATTGACTCATAGCAGGCTAGGTAATAACTATTATGCTATTAAATTCTTCAACAAACTTCCTCCAGGGGTAAAGAGTTTGCCTAAAGCTAATTTCAAAACCGCAGTAAAGAAGTATCTCTTGGATAAATCATACTATGCCCTACAAGAATTTTTAACAGAAAATATAAACTTCTCTGACTGATATGTGATTGCTCTGTGATTTTATATTTTATATGTCGTAATTCGTCCGCAGATTTTTGCGTTGTATTTTGTATTTTAAAACCCAATTATTTTATTATTGTTAGTATTATTATTGTAACATTTTTTTGTAACATTTTATTGTCACTTTTATTTTACTCTATCTTAACTAACTGTGTAGCAAGTAAGACATATTTATATGCATATTTTTTTCTATTTCGACGAATCCAAACACCATGTGTATAAGCCTGAATAAATGATTTGATTTGATTTGATTTGATATGCTGGACCCATTGAAATTCGAGATAGAAAAACTCGAATTCCCAAACTTTTAAAGGCGTATATATGTATTTTTGTGTGCATGACTACAAAATGTATTCACTTAGAGTGTGTTACTGATCTTATTACCCAGTCTTTTTTATTAGTTTTAAGACGATTTGTAGCAAGAAGAGGTAAGCCTTTGCATCTTTACTCTGACAACGGCAAGAATTTTGTTGGGGCTTACTCAATTCTTTTTAAATTTTTCAAGTCAAATTCCAATGAAATAGCATCAACTTTATGTAGTGATGGTATAACCTGGCATTTTATACTACCAAGGGCCCCCAATTTCGGCGGATTGTGGGAAGCAGGTATGAAAAGTGTTAAGTTTCATTTAAAACGAGTTGTTGGCAACGCTAAGCTTACCTACGAGGAGCTGAGCACGATTTTGACCCAAATAGAAGGGGTGTTGAATTTACGACCTCTATCACCATTGTCAACGGACCCTGAGGATATGACACCTCTTACCCCAGCCCATTTTTTATTGGGAAGACCAATCACCTCCTTACTCGATGATGACTATAAGTTTATACCTGAAAATCGACTGGCTAAGTTTCAACGATTTCAAAGAATGGTGCAGCACTTTTGGGAGCGGTGGAACAAGGAATATATTTCCGAATTAGGCAATCTCAATCACGTGATTTTGTATGGCCGTTCGGGTCAAACATTGCGGTGACAAGCCGGTGACGTTTATAAGGAGGTATAAGAAGAG